GTCCAAGTTTGAAGTTGAGGTCGGCATTGAAGCCCTTCGATATATCTGAGCCGGAGTTAGTTGCGGGTATGTCATGTGGATTTAAGCACATCTCAAGCTTACCTGATGTCATGGGAGAATAGTGGTAGCCGTAGTACCACGGCCATGAGGCAACCCCACGATAGTAATAGTACAGTACCCATTGTAAGCCCTGAACATAGTTCTCGCTTAGCTTGACTAGCTCTGAATCTCTGGCCTCGACTGGCCAATGGAACTTCTCTTCATAGTACTTGTCTTTCCATTCTTTAAACTTTTTCTCGTATTGACGCTCTGAGGCCGCTCGAGCTTCTTCCACAGATACGTCAACGACCTGGGCGTTATCGTAACGCCTCACCACTCTAAGCAAGGCGAGATGTCCCTCCTCATCTTCTTCTTCTTCCTCCTCCTCGTTATCACCATTCTCATCGGGAATCTCTGTCTTTGAGGGAAATGTTAGGACCAAGTCGCGCTGACCCTGTTCGTCCTGGATGGTGTGCCACTGTATATGCAAGTTTTCTGCAGCATCTTGAACAAACTTGCGGTCGGCGGCAATCAGATCATGGCCCAGGTTCAAGGACTCGGTAGATCGTTTCGTTACGAACCTCCGAATCTGCTTCCATAGTTCTTTTTGCGCGCTTGTCACTACAAGCTTGCCTTTCGCCTTAGCAGACTCATGCCCATTGGTGTCTGCCAACTGTTTATTTCTGAGCCACTGAGAATCAGCATGATCGTGTTCAAAATGTCTAGATTCCTCCTTAGATAATTCATCTAGTAGTAATTTGAGTCGGGCCAGATCGATTACACCTTCCTCATTAATGTAGCCCTCACATTGTGGAAGAACCTGCTTGTAAATACGGAACATGGTTGCCAATGCTCCCTCGTTGATGTGAAGATAGGGCAGGTTGGGGAGGAAGTCATTTCCCACAAAGAAGGCCATGAGAATGAAATCGTCTATAATCTTTTCCATGTCGAAGGGGATCTTGAGGGCGCCATCCTTTTTCAACTCCTGGAACTCCAGTTCGAGGTATTCGCGCACAATGCAAAGATGCAGGAGATAGAAGTTTTGGTGCTCTAGCTCTTTCGACTTGGTCTTCGAAGCGCGGCCAAACGTGACCTCTTCTCGAAGCAGACAGAAATGGGGGTCGTGACTTAAAAGACCCAACATGATGAGATCGGCATCAAGACCGTACAGACAATGGCGGACGTTGGGGTGGTAGTCGGGCTGCGCCTTGGCATTCCTTATATATTCCATAATCTTGTGCTCACCCTCGCCAGGCACCTCGTGACCAGATAGGACAATTTCACAACCCTGCCAGTCCGAGTCCTCGGTTATCTTCTTGTTGATGAAGTATTTTAGCTGGCGAGTGAGCTTGGCCATAAATTCTGTGCCGGGCGTGATGCAATTGCTGTCAAAGGGATCGTCCTTGGGTAACTCCTGACCCTCGCGGATGGCCTTCTCACGCGCCTGCTCGGCGTCGAGAGCAGTGCGAAAACGGCGAGCCCTCTGCTGGTTCATCTTGGCTCTCGGGGCAACACCATCAATGGCCATGAAGAAGAGCTTTTTAGGCTTGATCTTGCCGAAGAGATGTTCGATATAGTTGAATATGCGAATGAACATTTCATCCTCGCTGAGGCGAAATGAGGTGTCGGAAGAGTCCTTATGAGTACAATTGTGGATGATGCCGTTCATGTCCAACTACGCAGGTCAGCAAGGGAAAGATGGCAGTGTAGAGGTCTGGGCTGGCGCACGTATAGATTGTCGAATTCAGGTATCCGGTTCTCGGCAATGAGCTGAGATATGGCGGGGTAGCGCTCGGAGAGCCATCGAAAAAACTTGGGGACACTGTGGCATGGAAAATTAGTTAAGAGGCTGAAGAGGGGCGGACAGAGGGAGAGGGGAAGGCTAGGTGGTTTGCAGACGAACCCCATGACGGCGACGACGATGATGGTGGTGGTGGTGGTCGTAGTAGTTGTAGTAGTAGTCGTAGTAGTAGTGGGACAACGGCGGCGTGAGCACACTCAGGCGGACAACCAGGCGGCTTTGCAACAGGAAGGACAAGAATTTCTAAATTCTTGGACGGCGACAATCGCAGGCGAAACAAAGACGGGCGTCGTTTGTTGGGTTGGTTGTCGACGACTTGTCGAATCAGGACCAAGATGTGAGGGCCAAGCAGCAGCCAAGCGGACGCGCGCAACAGAACGAACGACGACGGTAGGGTAGGGAGCTGGTAGCCGACCTGCGACGATAGAGGCAGACTTCTTCTCTGCTCTGCGTTTGCGAGAAAGGGAAAGATGGGGAGTAGAGGTCGGGAAGGTAGGCAGAGGTGAAGCTCGTCTGACTCGAAGAGGGTCTGAGAGCTTTTGAGGCTGGCCACACATGACTTACATCCAGGTACCTACCTACTACATACCTACACCTACTTTAACGACAAGCTCTAGAATTTATGGGGCCTACGTGCATGTGTACCTATGTACCTATTCATAGTGCATATACCAGTACATAATTACTTCGTAGGTACATGTACCTAGCTTCGTGTATAGATACTTACTAGCACAGGCAAAGCCATTTGCCTCTCGTGGACAAAGTACTTTCCATATTCATGTACATTGAAACTTAGAGAGAGGGCAAGCACCAGCCGGTACCTCTTCGTTACATTTGGGAAGGTACCTACAGATCTGGACGGCAAAGCCACTTTAGTGCAGGTAGATTAGGTAGATTGGCTTAGCAAACGCGCGCAGCGCGTCGTCAACTTACCTAAACCTACCTGGTACCATCTCTTCACCTCTGCCGGGTCGGACTTGCGCCTGAGATTTCCAGTTTGCAAGTCTCCGACATCCAACATCTCGAGTACCAGACATTGTACCCGCCACCAGCATCTCTTCTTCGTCTTTTTTTTCTCTTCGTTTCTTCTCTTTACCCACCTGCTATTGAATTGATTTCGTCTTAGGCTCATCTTGAGCTTCGTCGTTGAGAGACTGGTCCGCCGTCGTCCACATCCCATCATGGCGCCCGCTCCCGTTGTTGACGATCTGGATGGTATGCTCATCCCTTCCTGCTTCGGCGCCTTGTGCTAATGGGCTATTCCATGTCCCTAGTCGAAGAAGCTGGCCGGGAATATGGGGAAGATGAGGAGCAGAGGTTGGTCAACGAAGGTATTGATTACCATATCATCTCCCGACTCCCTTGAACCTCTATTGATCTCTAAGACAGAGTATAAGACGTGGAAGAAGAACTCGCCCTTCCTCTATGACATGATCCTGAGGTATGCGCCAAGACTATACTGCGACTGCCCAGCGCGCTTCCGTCCTCTCGCACACCCACGTAACATGCTGACGTCCTCTCGAGCACTGCTTTGACCTGGCCCACACTCACTGTCCAATGGTTTCCTGATGTGAAGGAGCCCGAAGGCAAGGACTGCCGAATTCACCGCGTACTGATTGGAACCCACACCTCGGATGAAAAACCCAATTACGTTCAGATCGCCGACGTCGAGGTTCCCAAGACGATTCGCCCCAATGCGCGCGACTATGATGAAGACCGCGGCGAGATTGGTGGCTATGGCAAGGCCTCCGCCTCTACCGACACAGGTGCCATGAAGTGGAAGATTGTGCAGAGGATCGATCACCCAGGCGAGGTCAACAAAGCTCGCTACTGCCCCCAGAACCCCGACCTGATTGCCACGCTGGCTGTCGACGGGTCTATTCTCATCTTTGACCGAACCAAGCACAGCTCCGAGCCGAACGGTCAGCTCAATCCTCAGATTAAACTCCAGGGTCATACCCAGGAGGGCTTTGGGCTCGACTGGAGCCCACATAATGAAGGTTCATTGGTCTCTGGTAGCGAGGATCAGACCGTTTGTTTGTGGTAGGTTCTTTCACCCTCAGCGTCTGCAAAGTAAATACCGTCTTCTCACTCAATGCTATGTCTAGGGATATAAAGTCACTCCAAAGTGGGAACACCACGTTGAATCCTTCCCGCCGCTTTACACACCACTCCAACGTTGTTAACGATGTTCAGTATCACCCAATATCGCGCCACTTTATTGGTAGCGTCTCGGACGATCTTACTCTGCAAATTCTGGACCTTAGACAAGCGTCCAACTCACAATCCTCGTTGGTTGCCAAACTCGGACATAGCGATGCCATCAATGCACTGGCCTTCAACCCGTCTACCGAGGTCTTGGTGGCTACGGCGTCAGCGGACAAGACAATTGGGATATGGGATTTACGCAACGTTAAAGAGAAAGTACATACGCTCGAAGGCCATCAGGATGCCGTCACCTCACTCGCCTGGCATCCCCATGAGGCCGGGATCCTCGGAAGCGCGAGCTACGATCGGCGTATCATATTCTGGGACCTCAGCCGGGTGGGCGAAGAGCAGCAGCCAGACGATCAAGAGGATGGCCCTCCCGAACTGTGAGTCACACCAATCGGGGTATCTTACTCGTCGACAAAAAGCTAATCTACATCTTGGTTAGACTGTTCATGCACGGTGGCCATACCAACCATCTAGCGGATTTCAGCTGGAATCTCAATGATCCGTGGCTAGTCGCCAGCGCGGCCGAGGATAACATGTTGCAGATTTGGAAGGTTGCGAACTCGATTGTAGGCAGGGATGAGGCAGATCTCCCGCTAGATGAACTTGGCAGGTGAAGATGACAGATGGCGTGGATGTCCGATCCAGGGCGGTGAATTTGGAGACCAGATGACCACATCTTCGATTGCTGACACTTAGTCCATAAGGGTTTGCAGGGTAAGAAAGGGCAGGCGCCATGATATGAAAAGGACAGAACGCAATTTTCGTCGGCGAGCTGCTCAGTTGCTAGATAGTAGTGACGGGGGCCCGGCTGATGGAGAGTAACTCGGTAGTTGCTTTTGAACTACCTATCCTGTATACCTAGCAGAGGTAAAAGCAGGCATCGACTATCACCGTGGCTAGGTGTTGTAGCCTCAGATAAGATTTATATAAAAAAATTAAATATTGAAGAATCCCAGAATCGAACTGGTGCTTTCGGATCAACGCCCTCGGCGGCGCCTAACGACTCCACGACGTGCTACCACTGCACTAATTCCTTATTCGGCTTAGTGCGATATCTATATTTATATACGCCCCACCTTTGAACAAGAGGTACCTAGTGTAGACTTCTACTCACCACTCCGATGTTGATGAAGATAATAATAGCATTTACCTGCATACTCCCACTCGGGAGGGATGATGGTGTTGACACAGGCCGACTGCCTGCTGTTCCTCGAACGCAACCATGTCCTCTGGGATGACTGCCTCAGGAGTCAGCGGGGCGAAAGCCTCACTGGTCCTTCACAACCTCCCTCGAAGCAACGCACGTGGGCCAATCAATGCAAGACGTATGCAGACGGGCGACGATGGCGCCCGGTCCATTCTGCCGTGTGCTATGCTTATTCGCCTATCATGAGCCTGGCGCACCAATGTCCTTGCAACCATAATTGCCTTCTGCTCTCTGGCGTCTTCTGTTAGCGATGTCCAGCTACTCTGATTGCTGTAGCAGATGCGGTGCAAGTTAGCCATGGAGTGCCTAGATATATCCTGAATAGCAGACCCCTTTTCGCTCCTTTCAGCCGCAGCCAGCTTGACTGATGTATCAGTTCGAGCATCCTTTAAACTGCGAACCCTTATCTCGGACTTTAAGAACGCCCTTGCACTTATCCTAGACTTCTCTAATCAGATCACAGAAATCAGCCTTATCCTCGAAAGAGCGAAAGAGTCGCGGCAGGCCGTTGAAACCCTCAGTGATGGGCAACACGATGCGGGCTTTCAGGCTTGTCTCGGCGGCGAACTCGATAAAGCTGGGGTGATCCTAACAGAGCTCGAGTCTCTTGCTGCTCGGCTGAGCCCAAGGGAGCCGGCAAGCCAACGATTCCGATTGCTCCGACAGAAGAAGCATGCTGTAAAATTAAACAATAGGCTGAAAGAGGTACGCCAAAGGATCAACGACTTGCTAGTTGCCTACAACCCGTAAGTAAAATATGCATAACGCCCCCCGTCCCTTCAGTAAATATGAAATGGGACTGTTTATTAATTGACATTTTGGCCATAGTTCATTAGAAAGCCGGATTGAACTAGAGCTTCATGAAGTCAAAGTTAGCTTGCAGCAAGCTCAAGCAACAAGTGGCGAGCTCGGCAACATTCGCACTGCCATTGCACGTCAAGGGACGGAGATCCAAACATTGCACGATTCCATCTCCATACGAGAGACTGAAAATGCCAGCCATAAGCGGGAAGCGAACAAGCAGCTCTCCACGATCCACAACACCATGCATACCGGATCCCAGGCAATCAATCGTATAGCAACAGAACAAGCCTATCAATTCCAAGTTACCCAGAGTATCCAAACAGCCATCCTGACCGAGCTAGCTACTATGAGAACCGCTTCTGTAAAACGACGTAGGACTGCAATCCAACCCCCGCCGTCTCGTGATAATCCTAGCCCAGTACAATCCCTCTCTCTGCGGCTCCGGGGATCTCAATACGAAAATGGCTGTCAATGCAGATGTCACCTCCCCGTACAACCTCGCATATCATTGCAGATTCCGCATATGCTGGGGGTAGCCATTAGGTACTTATTCCTAGGCTATACGTCGTATCCTTTGGCGTTTACCCGTTGTAACGACGGCTGTTGCGCGAATAGAAAGTATTGATGTATGCAAATCGTCTACAGTTTCGCTTCCTGGTGGTATTTGCATTATATAATATATGCCTGGGTGGAAGTGTTTATATCGGGGTTCTTTACGTTTACTGGCGGCGCGGCGGAAAATGCTATTCCGGCTCGGCCAGATTTCCTACGAAGCCCAGATCGGAAGCACGAGGAATTTAGAACAGCCCATCCTACGCAGAAGGGGATGCGTGCAAAACGTCTACTACTTTAACGGGCGCCCGGTATTAACCTTGGCATTGACCGACAGAATTCCCGATAGTATTAACAATATCAGACTATTGTTAGAAAACGGAGCGGATCCCGACCAGGTGGACGATTACGGGATATCTCCTCGGTTGTGCGTTGGCCTCGACATCCTAACAAAGAGGCACTCGCCCGACCTTACTCGCGCGCTAAAAGCATGTTCTCTGTCCCTTTGTGCATCGATGTGTTCGATTTGTCCTATATGCATAAGATTGCCCTTGGCCTGGTGCCTATCCGTTTAGAAACTACCCTTTAAAACCCCGTCCTGGACCCGGCCCTGTTAAACGCCAAAGACCGAGTCGGTCGTACCCCCCTGACGTACGCCGCTGCCAATGGCGATGTAGCGACAGTTTGTGCCTTAATCGGTGCGGGCGCAGACGTCAACATGGTAGATGACATGGGGTTCAGTGCGCTACATCGAGTAATACTGTCGTCTAAGGCGGAAGGAAGTCTAATCTCCGCCAATGCCTTCGTACAAGCCGGAGCCGATATCAACGCGATCGTCACCCGCGATGGACTATCGTGCCTACACATAGCCGCCGACCGAAATCGAGTGGAAATCAGCCGCCGACTTATCGATGTCGAAGCGAATGTCCACATCGTAAACGCGTTCACTCAGGAGACACCCCTGCTCCGTGCCGGGCATTACAACTCGGTAGGCATGGTGCGCTACCCGTACGATGCCAGAGCCAGCCTAGAGTCGCCGAATAGGGATGGGGAAACGTCCGTCAGAGCTGCCGCCTCCGGAGATGCAGAGGCGGCGCTGGTCCTGCTGCTTCACTTTGGTGCGGATACCGACCAGTCGATAAGCAGAAGCAGACCCTGCTGTATAACTGCTAGTAGCGCCAACAAGTTGTCACTAAAATAGAAAAGCTTTACTGTTGATAATAAAGCTTGCTATTTTAATACGGTGAAAATCCGAATGCGAGGCATTTGGATTTTAGTTTTTAAGGTTCCTATTACTACCTATTGCGGTACGTAAGCCATACGCCCGCTACACAGTCTTTTTGGGTGCGAATACGTTGTGGTTAATGCCTCGAATAGGCTTTAACCAATGGGATCGTTGCAGAGTCCGTCTAGGCCAATAGGAAGAGAGGCCACTTTTACAATAGTGATGAGAACAGGGAATTCTGGCTAATCCGAAATAGATAGAGTCAATAGATAGTTGCTGCTCTACTGAACTTAACAGTGGTTTTCCGCAAGTATTTATGACAATTTTTGGCATCGCACTATTGACTACCTTTAGGGAGGAGGTACCACTTGATCGCCCGCCCTAACACATTATACGATCTCAGGTTTTTTCCACACAGGTCTTCTTTACACAGGTCTCCTCTACATAGGTCTCCTCCTCTACGCAGGTCTCACTCTCGTCGCATCCGTCAGTCGGTGGCGCTGTAGGAAATATCCGATTGGGCTAAAGCAATTGCAAAGTTCTCTTTGTCTAATCATCTAGTCTATCGGCTGCAGACTTCCCAGCAGGACGTTAGATGCGATTAAAGTTAAAAAGAACTTCGAACATAATGTCCTTAAAGCTGCAGCATCGCGAAACAGCAACGTAATTAAAACCAGGACTGAACTTCCGCGGAGTAATGTCTACTATAATCCGATCTATTATAATAGACTGACTTTTATATACTGTAATAATAAACGCAATGACTAAAAAGAACTGTGTGCAAAAGCATCGATAACCTTTATAATTATAGTCTCGGGTAATGCGGATAATCGGGACTATAGGTCGTCTATCCTCGGTCTAAAATTCGACAGAACCATTATATTTAAACAGTTAATTAAATTGCCAATATATATATATATATGCATTATTTACCTATTAAAAGATATAAAGATCGCAGTAGGCACATATATTTTATAGTTTGCACCCTTAGCCTAAATAATATCTTTAACAATACCGAGGGCACTATTAACTAAACTAAATTAAATATAAATGTTGTTAATAAATATAACACGAGCTTTAAAACATAAAGGCAAACGTAGCTCTAAATTGCCTACATTATAAAAAAGTGCTTTATCTTATTAAATACTATATTTATTAGCCTAAACACAAACGACAAATAAATAAAAGCCTTTTATATACTTATAGTTATAAATATTAACACGTTTATTCGTAATATAAATATATAAAGCGCTATTAAAAAACATAACAGCGCCAGCAAATAAATTGCATTAACAGCGTAAATTTAGCAACTTTTAGTGTGCCCAAGTCACTTTATACTGTTACAATTTATTTAAAGCTGTATAAAAACCAGCTTATATATCACCCTGTTAACGCATAACAAAAGTAAGGCAGATAGTCCTATTAAACAAAAAATAAATATTTTTACCTAAAATCTTTAAAAAATTAGTGACTCAATATATAGTATATAAAAAGCGAGCAGCTATAAAAAAAAGCTGGCAAAAATTGCTAAAAAAAACGCAGCTTATCCCGCCTATAAAGCCATCAAAACCTAGCTTAGCTTATTATATATATTAATTAATCTAACCTAAAATCTACAAACTAATTATCGATTTCTTATTAAAAAAGATATACTTTTTTTTAATAAATAAGCGCTGCAAATTATATAAAGTATTCCTAAAAAGCGCCGCAAAAGCTGCATTAACAGGCAGACAGAAAAGTAAATGGACAGTGTAACTTATAATACTATTAGCGGCAATACCTATAGGTGCGTAACGTAGGACAAGGTTAAGGACGTGTGCTTTTTAAGCTATGCGCACAAAGTAAACATAAAAGACTTTAAAAACATAAAACTTATTAAAGCTAGCAGGTCTATCGCAGTTAAATAAAATAAGCTCCAGATTTTTTTTATTTAACATACAAATATAATAATTAATAAAAAAATCGTAAAGCTTACGCTGCTCGAAGTTTAAAATATTTTAAATATTAAAAAAAATATTAACTGCAGCATTATTAAAAAAAACACGACCACTATTAACGAACTTATGCATCTAATTGCTAAAGTCGCTATAAATAAAGTATTTACTAACCCAAAAAGACCAATTAAATATAAAGTTTTCGTTGCAAACGCCGAGCTGTTTAAAAAAGTTATCAGCATCGCCGCGACACTTAAATAAATTATATACAAGCTCGTCCTAACTGTTATTAATATTATCTAATTTTTATTTTT